TATTAATACAGTAGAATATTATTCAGCCTTAAAAGGGAACAAAGTTCAGAGATATGCTACAACATGTATTAACTTCAGGACAGTCTACATGAAATAATACACACATGAGCAGCCTGGTCTACATAGAGAGTTCTAGGCCAGCTATGGCTACAAGGAGACCCTGTCTCAAAAAAAAAAAAAAAAAAAAAAAAAAAAAAGCCACATATTCTATCATACTCTATGATTCTTCTTACATTAGATACCTCAAATAGTCAAGTCCATCAAAACAGAAGGTAGAATGGTGGCTGTTAGGGGCCCTCTTGGAGTAGGTCTTGGTAAACAAGACACCTTTTAGGGGGAAGTTATTTGGTGCATAGGATTTTAGGATGGAAAGATTAAAAAGCTATGGAATGCTTTGCAGTGAACTACTAAACTCTATACTTACAAACTGTTAAGAAGAGAAAATGGTTAAATATTGTATATGTTTTGCCTGGTTATGTTACCATTACTTCTAAATGAATTGATTCAGGCAAGAGTGCTGTTTGTGTAGTGCTTAGCTCAGGCTGATAGAAGCTGCATCTCTTCTCACATCTGGACTGGGGGGAGAGGTCCTATGATTTTCCTAGGTGCTAAACATTCTGCAGACTGTCCTTGACTTACAGTGGTTTGACTTTCCCCCTCCATGATGGTGTCAGAGCACTAGGCATTTGGCAGACTCCTCACGTTCTGTCTTCTGGGCACATCGCAGCTCCTGGGCAGTCCTATGTGTTCTGTTGCTGAGCTGTGATGATCAGCTCAGATGTACTAAGTGCTATTCTTTGCAGTACTTTCAACTTGTAATGGATTTATCAAGAAATGACTCAAGTGTGGGGAGAAGCATCAAACTCTATTTCTCCTACCACTTTAGTGATAAGTGTCAAAAAGGAGGGGGTGTGACAGGGATAAAAACAGGCATCCAACACAACAGAGATGCTCTGGGTCCATCTGCATAACATTTGGTCCTGTCCCAAAAAATGAGCCAAGAGGCTTTGCTTTCTGCTAACAACCTTAGACCATTTAAAAACACTCATCTTTGTGGCAAGGGGAATGGGTCAGTGGGTAAGCCTTGCAAGTAAAAGTCAAGCAAGGTGTGGTGGCATACCTGTAATCCCAGCATGAGGGAGGTAGAGACAGGCCATTCTCAGGGCAAGCTGGATAGCCAGACTAGCTGGAACAGCAAACTCCAGGATCAGAGAGAGACCCTGCCTCAATATTTAAGATAGTGATCAATGAAGACTCCTGACATTGACCTCAGGCCTCCATACTGATGCCACACACTGTGTGATTCCCTTCCATGTGTGCTCACATACATGTAAACACACACACATACACCACACACACAAACATATATAAAAAAAGACATTTTGGACTATCTTCACAAGAATTTTTTTTAAAGAATGTAAGTACAAAATAAAGATGAACCTTTAAAGAAACAATTTGAAACTTAGAAAATAACAGAAGGAGGAATGCGGGAAAAAAGCAGCCATGGAAATCATTCACGTGGGTCCAAGAGGTACTTCCACGGGGTTCTGCCACATGCTGCTGTGTTTGGCATGTTATTCATTCCTGTCTCCTGGGCGATTCATGCCCTGTGGCTTTTCTAATGATACACCTTTGTAACCTCCTCCCACAACTTCATCTTTACAGGGGCTATTTTTATACTTAAATCAAAGTTGGTTTCTAAAAAATCTCATGCAACTCAACTTTGAGGGCAACTTCAGCATTTCCTGAGACTAGAATCACCGAAGACATGCTGAATGGAGCTTAGAAGAGAAGGAATGCAAATCAGGATTGTGGAGGAGTACACCAGCTCAGCCATGGGCTGCCTTTCCCATGGAGCTTGGAAGAGCACCGATGTCACAAGCAATAAAGATCGAATGTCCCCAGCTCATTAATGTCAAAATGACTTAGATCGAAAGACAGTCATTAAAGAGAGTGAATTTCTTCATATTTAGCAGGTATCAGTTAGAACCCCTAATGACCTGCTTTCTGCTTGCCTGTCTTCCTGTTTCATTGAAATTATTTGATTTGAAAGCGTCTGACTCATATTTTAGTCATTGTTTGGTGGTTCTACCATCTGAACCATTAGAATGAAAAAAGAATCGATGCATCTCCAAGTGACAGTGTTTATTCTGTATTCACAGACTCCCCAATTCTTCCTCAGAGGCTGCCTGAAGAAATCACTCCCACGGCCCTGCCTCTCCATTTTTGGTAACCATGGGCTGATTCACCTGAACACATGTCTCTCTTAACAGTCAGAGTGAAGGACTGGGGGTATAGCTCCATGGCAGAGCAAGTGCCTAGTATTCGTGAGGTCTCAGGTTCAATCCCTAGCATTGCCCAAAATAAAGAATCAATACCCAAAGTGAGATTTTCCTCTCTGAGCTGCGGATTGATCCTGACTATACCCTACCACTGTGTTTGGTCCTGTTCCTTCCTCTGTAATCTGTGTGAATTTAGAAAATGATCTTTCCTGTTTGAGCTATGGTAAAAGTTAAAAAAAAAGTGTTTAACAAGTGAAGCAAAATAGAGGTGCCCTCATCCACTCACCTGGTTTTAATAAAAAGCCTAAGCAGATTAAAAGGTAAATTGGCTGTTACTTCTCAGTTTTCCTTCTAGGTTTGTACCAGGCAATCAAAGAAGAGTGATTTTTCAAAATCCTTTTTGTTTGTGAAGTCACATGAGGGGAGACCTAATTAATCAAATCCTGCATTTCCAGTTCTCTTCATCATCAGAGCTTATTGCTAAACGGAAGGTCTGAATGGGATATCGTTTCTGGTTTCTGGAACATCATTTCTGGGGAATCATGTACAAAGTGCTCAGCACAGCATAGGGAAGACAGTGGTGGACAAAAGTCATTAATCTAGGGGAGTCTAATCAAGTACTCAGAACCAAATCAAGTATGGTGGCTCACATAATCCTAGCACTTGTGCAACTGAGGCAGGAGGATCACCTTAAGCTCAAGGCCTGCCTGGTCCACATAGTGAGACCCTGTTTCAAAAAAGGAAAACAAAACAAAAGAAAATACAGAACCATGCTAAACTGGAGTCAGATAAGGTATAATGGTCGGGGGGTACTAGGGCAGACAGGTCTCCATGAGACCAGCCTCTCAAACATCCATCTGAAGTTGGAGGCTGCTAGGAATTTAAATAGGGAAGAAAGAAACATTTTAGGATACCTAATGAAAGCATGAAGAATAAAAAGAGCTGCAGGGTGAGTAGGGCTGGAGCTCCAGAAGTGACAGTGAGATGTGACTGTCAGATGACTCTGGGAGTGGAGGCCAGAGTACATACACATGGATTGAAAGGCAAAGTTATAGGAGTTTGACTTTACACTAAGAGCAATGGAATGCCATTGGAGTGTTTAGCAGGGGCGGGGCAGAGAGATGTGAGCAGAATTGCATTTTAGAATTCAAACAGCATTCTAAATAAGGGACTATCATACCTTGTTCTATGTTGGTTACAATAGGGAAGGGGAGATAAGGTCAGAATGAAGAGCTAAGCAGGAGGTGAAAGTAACGGGACTTGAGCTGGATTGGATATAGGCACAGTGGGGAGGAAAGGAGAGCAATAGCAAGGTGACTCCTAGCATTCTGGACATGTTTCAGAGGAGGAACACTGAACGAGAATTGGGTTTTGGCATGATTAGGATTAAGTTCTGTACATATTGAGATAGCCTAGAGTGTCAAGTATCTACTTTGTGCTCCGAAGAGGAGTATGGTCTAGAGATGCAAATTTGGGAGACTTTTGCATGGAGGTGGTATTGGCACACATTGTGTGACTGAGGTTTTCTAAGGAGAGTGAGAAAGGAAGACTGTACAGACCACGAATATCTTTCAATTCCTTTTAATGGAATTGTAGAATATGGGACTGGAGAGATGGCTCAGCAGTTAAGAGCTCTAGCTGCTCTTGCAGAGGACCTGGGTTTGGTTCCCAGTACCCACATGGCAGCTAACAACCGTCTGTAACTCCTGTTCCAGGGGATCTGATGCCTTCTTCTGACCTCCATGGGCATTGCATGACATAAGTGCACTTACATACATATAGGCAATGCACTCGTACACATAAAATAAAAATAGTAAAATATTTTTTTAAAGAACTGTTGAATATTGCAGGGCTATGCTGAAGACCACTGAAAGAAACTTAAGAGGAGATATCTCAGGAGTTAAAGTAAGTGATTAGCAGTTATAAGGAAGGTTGTACTGCACAGTGACTAAAGTCCTGCCCCTTTGCTGGAGGGCCAGGGACTGGGACTCTAATTCTAGCTTTTTGACATTGAGCTAGACTCACCTTTCTGATTTTTGTGTGTGAAACATAAGGATAATAGTATGTTTTATTCTGCATCTCATGGTTCAGGTGAGGGTCAAGTGAGATGATGGAGGTTAAAGAGCTTTGCAAGCTGCCATTTTCACAATGGATTACAAGGCGGCCTCCCACCCATGTATTTAAATTCATTTCAGAATGGAAGTGAAATGTAGGCTTTTTCAGCATATGCTGGGCTGACACAGAGCAAAGGAATTCTTTGAGTTTTTAAAAATGTCTCTCAAAGATTTTTACATTTTAAGTAAAGTCATTGTTCTCTTTTCTACAGAATAATAGACAAAGTGATGGGAGCCTGATGATCTGATGTACTTCAAAGACAACCAGAGCCAGACAAGGCCTAGAGAAGGACATCTGATTTGATTAAAAGGGTAGAGAGCATTTGTTAAAAGTGAGGGATGATAAAAGAATTAGGACTCTTCATTCTGAAAAGCCACAGGCTTAGAGTGGACTATGATTGAAATTTATGAAATAATGAAAATCATAGGATAAAAATGTGAACTTATT